GTGCTGGCTTTTGCTCATTTTTGCCCTTCCCCTTACAGGAGTACTCTGCTAACTTCTGAAAAGCTAGTCATGCCTTTTTTTTGGGAAAAAACGGGCCCATTTTCGTGCAAAATGGGCCATTTTGGGAAGGTTTGCAGAGTGCAAAAACTTTTTTTTAAATTTGCCTCTTCAAAACCTTGGTGCGTCTTATACTCCAAAAATACGGTAGTTTTTCAGAAGTTATATATCTTACAGGTTGTCATAATACCTATAGTAGTTTTCAAGGTCAAAGGATAATTTGCTATTTTTGTCAGAACTTTTATGCATTTTTCCTGGAAAAAATAGTGGTTTGCTATTGAAAAGTTTTCTGACTATACATGTAATAAATGACAATATTTTACTTGTCATTCAAGCCAGTGGGATTTGTGAATTTATTAGTAAATTCTGAATAATAAATAAAATATTGCATATTTTGTAGAGCTCCTGAAATCATCTTGGGTTTGCCATTTTGTGAAGCAATTGATATGTGGTCACTGGGATGTGTGATAGCCGAATTGTTTCTTGGCTGGCCTTTGTATCCAGGAGCTTCAGAATACGATCAAGTAAGTCTCTGCTGATATTCAAACAATACTGACTTTAAACTACTATGCTAGCGAAAACATTTCATTGAATCCAATAGGTTTTGCTTTTGAGTAAATATTAGTTAATATTTGTGCATGGGCTAAATGAGAGCCTCCTAAGTCATTGGCACTGGACTTTTGCTCTGAGAACAATTGATTGGGGTTAATCAATAAGCACCGATTCTTCTCAGATTGATACATATAACTTTGTGCTTAATAAATTCTTATAATTTCTGTTATTTTTAGTATGTGAGTTTTTAAGAAAAAAATATAATCTTATAAGACATCATGTAAATATCTTTCATTTTGTCTTCCCCCATCGTATTTCATGATCCCATGTTATAAGAAAAATACAAAGAACTACTAGGCTATGGATTATCTTTTTGAATTAATGGTGTAAAGTCAGTACTGTTAAACTAACAAGCATATTTTCCTGCTGCTGCTTCACTTAAAGAAAGAAAGCTAGCATTTACAGGGTTACAGTATTTTCTGCCTGTGGCTATATAGCACAGTTGCCTACTCCATTCTCTGCCAAAAAAGATTATTGCCAACTATCTCTGTGTTAGCATAACTATATGCAAAGAATGGTTATAACTCTATATACATGATTTCATTAAGTCATGTTTGCTCTGAGACAGACAGGGTCGTGGAATTGTTCTCCTTGCTATGACCAATCCAATTAACTCTTTTTCCTCTCCAACTGTTCAAGTGAATATTTACACTCCAAAAATTCACTAAAAATGAAGAACTTTCCTCCTCATACATTGGTTAGATACCAGTCTCCTTTTAACTACACTTTCACATGCACAGGTGGTCCTCAAATTCTAACCTTTCGTTCAGTGACTGCTCAAAATTGTGGCAGTGCTGAACAAGGTGACTTACGATGAGTCTTTAGAGTTCTGGCTATTTGCAGTGTCCCTATCATCATTGCAATAAACCATAGTCATGTGATCACAATTTCCAGTGTTCTGTTCAGGCTTTCCACAAGGTAAAGTAATGGGAAAACCAGTAGGAAATCAACTTTGGCCTCATTAGGTCCACACCTAACGAACTGCATGGTCCTCATTTGACTATGACAATTCTGGGACTGCCAGAATTGCTATTCCCAAGTGTTTACATGCTATTGTGCTTTATGATCATATTGCTTAGTGATAAAGTTCCTGTTACCAATTGCTGTCATAACTGCTGGACTATCTGCATCTGTTTGCACCTCATTTCTTTTTAAATATAGATGGTGTACATGTAAATATTTTCTGGTATTTACAGCTATTCTAAATTTGTCTGAAATCTACGTGATATATTTTACTTACATTGCTATATGTACAAATGGAAGGGAAACTTTTGCCTTCCACAGGTGTTTTATTGGTAAAATATTAGTCAAGAAGTCTAAAAGTTACAATAAATTGATATAAAACAGGCCCACACAACTTGTGGACAGAAAAGGGTCGCATTGGTACCTTAATAATAATTATGGCCCACAGAGAAATAGCTGGTGCAGAATTGTAGCTTGAAGTGCTGGTGAGGCCCAAAGTTATTGGAGGATTCCACAGCATATCTTTTGGAGCAGCAAAAAACCCCACCTAAGTGGTAGCACATCCTTTCTGGTGATAGCAGTATTTGGCAGCAATGGGTTTATGAAGTTTTTAAAAAAAATTCTGCTGAACCACACAAGACTTGGTCAGCCACATGTGGCCTGCAATCTTTTTTTGTGCAGGCTCAGAGATAGAAATAGTGTCTTAAACACAACTTTCCATAGGAAAAAAATAGTAGTAATGTGTGTAAAAGAAAATGTCGAATAATTTGGGTGATTTCCTGGTAAAAATTAATACGTTTATTTCTAAAACTCATGGTATTGAATGAATATCAAAAAGGATGACTCCAGATGACTTTTAGATGTTAAAACAACATGGAACACTAACCTTAATGTGAATATATTATGAACATGACATCTTCAATACCTCAAAATAGAATGCTTGAAAAAGGCATGAAAAAAATCTCATTCAAATATTAATGAATTAGCAAAGTTGAAAAATAAGTTGAATAGTTTTTTAAGGAAAACAATTATTATTGAACATAAAATTGTATTGTGTTCCACATAGCTCATTTATTAAGAACAGCTGGAAAATTCTGTTCATGGTTCCGTCAAAAGATTTGGTTCACAGCAGAGGCCAAAAGTTTTTCTCCATGGAAGTAATCAAATTATGTAATTCTCTCCGACGGGAGTAAAACTTCCTCACAAAAAGCATTTGTAGGATACTAGCTGCCTAGGAAAAAAACAGTTTCTTTTGTAACAGGCTGTATTTAAAGTCCTTGTGTCATTATTGTTTTTGAATTGATAATTTATTGTAATATGCTTTATTCAATTATTGCATGTAAGCTTGCTTTTATTCTTCCATATACGTCTCCATACTCCTTTGAGTGGAATAATGATATAAAAATAAAATTACTAGTCCTATATATTAATAATAATTGTTTGTTGATAACATCAATATTATTTTTCTGTTTCAGATTCGTTACATTTCACAAACACAAGGACTACCAGCAGAGTATCTTTTGAGTGCGGGAACGAAAACAAGCAGGTTTTTTAACAGAGATCCAAACTTGGGATATCCTTTGTGGAGACTAAAGGTTTTTTCTTTTAATTTCTTTTTTTTCTTTAGATATTTAACTTAAGTTAAATCAATTACAAACAATAAATGTAAACTAATAAGTAAACTATCGATATTCCATTCAGTAGCATTTTGTCTAGGGAAACATCAGCATCTGAAAATCAGGAGTAGAATATTTATTAATTGGCTAATAACTGGATGGAGTGTATAACTGCAAACTCATTAAGTAAAGGAGGCCTAAATCGTGACTCTGCACAAATAATATACCATAATGTGATTTGATTTTGATTTAGGATTATGTATAAACCTGTCCTTATGGGATAGTGGATTAGTCATAAATGTGAGCTACTGTAATTTGTCCAAGAAATTATGTGATTATAAATCTGGCCATTATCTATAAAGTATCCTGTCCAAAACTGGATCTTTTATGTACTAAAACCAGGAAACCATTGGTGGAAAACGATGAGTGATAACAGTGGGATTCTTTAAAACTGTCTCTAAGAAAATGCTTCTACAGTGCATTTGTCCAGTAAAGCAAGATCTATAAATAAAAATATTTTAAATACTGTTGTTAATAGTTGATGCAAAAGGATGTTCTGAATCGGACCTTGGTTTTTTGGGGGGGGGGGAATTTACAACAGACGTCTGTAAAAAGCACGTTTGTCTCATGAAAATCAATCAATATAGTTTCTGTAAGATTTAAGGCAATGTAAATTGATTTTGAAGAAAATTGTAAAGTTCAAATGTCTTTGGCCATTTTCCGAAACACAAATTGTATTTGCTAGTTATTTCTGCCCTGATTGTAAAGCTGTTTTCCTGATTTAAAACACACTTTAGATCTAAGCTCTTCAGAAATTCTCTGAAACCTGCAGTATTTCAGGCTGACCTACTTTTGCTTTTATTGTACTAAAATATTAAATCTTGATATATTTTTTTGTAACTTCCATTTTATTTGACAGACTCCAGAAGAACATGAGTTGGAGACAGGAATAAAATCAAAGGAAGCTCGGAAATATATTTTTAACTGTTTGGACGACATGGCACAAGTAAGCTGCCAATAAAAAATAATATTGCCTTTGAAAAGTACAGGTATTAAATCCAGAGAAGTACTAATTTACAGTTGTTTTACATAGAAGCTAATTGTGTTCCCTTTCTATTATCCCCCATGGGGCTATACAACTGGTCTCTTTAGTATACCTGAGGATAATTCTCAGTAATTTAGTAATTACAAGTAAATGATTTTAGGAAAATCATTTAACATCTGGTAGACTTGTCTTGAACATACACTTTAAATGCAAGGGCAATATTTCTTTTATGTTAAACATTTGTTAAAAACAAACCAAGAGATAATTGGAGTAAACTAGAACTACATTCCTCAAGAACTTAAAAGTTTTATGTATTCTTTATTTTTCCTGTCGTAAAATTTATAAATTGAACAAAAATCTAAACAATTTTAAAACTTTTCCACAAGGTAAATATGTCTACAGATTTGGAGGGAACAGATATGTTGGCAGAGAAGGCTGACCGAAGAGAATATATAGATTTGTTGAAGAAAATGTTGACAATTGATGCAGATAAGAGAATTACTCCGCTGAAGACCTTGAACCATCCATTTGTGACAATGAATCATCTCCTGGATTTTCCACATAGCAACCAGTAAGCTTATGGCCCAGATAAATGATACTATTAATTTATTCAGATTTGTAATCTGCTTCTTCTTGTTTTTGGACAAGTAACAAACAAGTAACAATAAGTATTATCCTTAGATAATTTCAGAAAGTGTTTAAATTAAATAAAGTAGTGGATTCATTAAAATAAATTCCTAAACAATAGTTTTACTATGATGTTATTCAGACACTTCTAGAAATCTTGTTATAATAGCAAATTATTTCCTTTTTAAATCTTGGCTTTCCAGTGCCATGTATTGATTTCTCATAGACAGGTAAGTTTTCGCTAGTACAAAAGAGAGAAACCTGGTAGTAATATATAATTTGCTAGAAATATTTTGCAGTATAGTATATTTTGGAATAAGAAATACTTGGTTTTGTTTGTACTGTGGAATTGTGATGAAGAATAGCAGTTATAGTTACTTGGTCAAGTATCAAATTAGATTTCAGAAAGAGCCCAAGAAACTTAAAAGGTTTTGATGAATATTAATTTGCAGCCATTTTATTTTTAATAATCAGACATAATCTTATTATAATCTTTTAGCTAAATCGCTTCATATTCTCTTTTAGTGTGAAATCCTGTTTTCAGAATATGGAAATTTGTAAACGAAGAGTTAATATGTATGATACTGTTAATCAAATAAAAAGCCCATTTACGACACATGTCGCACCAAATACAAGCACAAACCTCACTATGAGTTTCAACAACCAGCTGAGTACTGTGCATCATCAGGTAAATCTGTTCCTATTTGTTTCTTTTGATGAACAAAATCAAAACAAAACTTCTTGTCATTTCCTGGAATGATCTTCCTAGTAATTGACTTGTTTTTAGTACAGTAGCTTTAATGAATTTCATTTGTTCATTTGAGTGCTTATGAGTTCTAGATCCCTTTCAGGACGAGGGAATCTGATGAGTTAAGGTTGATTAAGAATGTGATTGACATCTGCAGATGTTTTTCGCCTTGTTTTCATTTGTTTAATACATATGTTAAATATTACAGTTTCAAGTTCTAATGATAGATTATCTTGTTTTTCAGGCTAGTGTTTTGGCTTCCAATTCTACAGCTGCAGCTACTCTTTCTCTAGCAAATTCAGATGTTTCACTATTGAATTATCAGTCTGCTCTCTATCCATCCTCTGCAGCACCAGTTGCTGGTGTGGCACAACAGAGTGTTTCGTTACAGCCTGGAACAACCCAAATTTGCACTCAAACAGACCCATTTCAACAAACATTCATTGTATGTCCTCCTGCCTTTCCAAGTAAGTGTGTTTTTATCCTGACATACTATTTCTGAATATCCATGACACCATAATTTTAATAAGGTTTTAAAAAGATAGAAAAAAGTGCTGTCTCTTTATGCATTAGAATCTACATTTTCTCACCTTCTGAAATAAAAACAAATGATGTGAAAGAAATACCTAGGCAACCCAAATTGATTTTGGAGCTTCTAGGACAAAATTGGATTTTGTAATATAGAAAGTAGTATCTTAAGTATGGTATGATATACATTTCATAATAGAAGGAAGCAGCATGGTTCACTTAATGGCTATTTCAAAAAATGTTTTCTTGACTGCTTCATAACTGTCTTACAAACAGAGGCCAGTATCCCCAACTTTTTTGATCCTGTGGCATACTGGGTACCTTGAGAACATAATATCAGTTGTCATGGATTACTAGCTTCTGGGATGGTTGAAGCTTTTTCAGTATTGATAATTATGACCATAACCTGCATCTTTTTAATGCATCAACTTTGGAAAGTAAGCTGTGAAACATATTTGGGTAGTTATTTGTGATCTTAATTTCATCCAGCTGGTCTTCAGGCAACCACAAAGCATTCTGGGTTCCCTGTAAGGATGGACAATGCTGTTCCAATTGTGCCACAAGCGCCAGCAGCTCAGCCCCTGCAGATCCAGTCCGGAGTTCTTACACAGGTAAAAGTGGGGGGGTGGGGCGAGTAAAACAAGATGTCATTGATATGTTTGGATAACATGTGGTGTATTCTCAACTGAATTGAGAACCAGAAATTCCTAAGCCTTTTAAAAATCATTAGTACTATATTAAGGAAAATATAAAATATTTCTTTGTCTGGTGATTTCTTTACTTTAAAGGTTTGGCCTTTTTAAATGGACTTTATTGTCCAAGACCAAAATTTTAGGCAACTTTCATTTACAGGTACAGATCTACCATTGTGCCTAAAACAGAAGGTATTAGCAACTGTTATTCTGGAAAAAGATACGTTTTAATTGGCTTTAATTGCTTGCCCTAAAATTACAATTAATATAAGATTTAGTAGAAAGCAGAAAAAGATGTTGTCTATCACTATTGGTTCAATTAAATTACACTTTCCCATCAACTTTCCCATTCACTTTAGGAGTGCTTTATAAATTTGTTCTGTTCCTTGATGCAGAGAAAATGACAGGTCACACATAATAACAAAGTTTTAGACTTTGATAATATTAGTTTGCTGTCCTGCCATAAAAACAAAGAAGTCTCTGCTCTCAGAAGCCTTTTTTTTATTTTGGGTTGCATATTCATTGTTAAAATGGGATGTTTGTTCCGGAACAGAAGATTTTGAAATAAGCTACATACATTACTTCCTAACTTAATCGTATTATCTTTGCAATGCAGCTTTGGTTACATTATTGTAAACTCCATTTAGGTCAGGCATGAATAACTTAAGGAGAGCAACTTACCCTTTTTTATTTGCATTGCAGAAGGCATTTGGAAGCACTTAGGCTAGCATAATACAAATCCAATATTGTATTCAATATGAATACAACAAAATTTTTCTTCTTTTCTCGGTTTTAAGATTTTTGTGGTGAAATATACTATAATTATACCGGCAGAGCAATTGAATTGCTCTATTTTTAAGAGGAGATCAATAGGAATTTTTATATCAAAACCCAAAATGCTGGTTTAACAACTGAATGCTTTCGGTATGCCATTTTAGAAATTATTTCTGTTTCCAATCCTTCCCTGCACTTATGCCCCCCCAATTAATTTTTGTTTTAAGTGCACTAAACACAAACGGCTTGTTCATGGATATGAAGAAATACTTGTTACCAGTATATACAAGTTGGAAGAAAAGCCTATTGATTTTCAGTGGATACCTATGAATTCTGCGAATCACTCAAAAGCGCCCTTAGTATCTTTGGGGGAAGCCTTTCTGGCCCTGTTACCTTAGTACATTTGTTTCACTCACTGCCTAATCTACATTTCAGGGAAGCTGTACACCACTAATGGTAGCAACTCTTCATCCTCAAGTAGCCACCATCACGCCGCAGTATGCGGTACCCTTTACTCTGAACTGCGCAGCCGGCCGGCCAGCGCTAGTAGAACAGACGGCTGCAGTACTGGTAATTGCCTCCCTTGATTGTGTTCACTAACGGAGTTTTTGTTTTAACTTAGACTTGCAGAGGGCATGGAAGCATGTGCCATCTTGTGGCTGTGTTCTTGCTACATCTTAATGTCTTGTTGTTTTTCCTCCCCAACATTGCTGAAGCACTGTCTGACTCTGATGTTTAGTGTTGCTCTGTAAAGAATCCAGATTCATTGACTGTTGTTCTTTGCTAGCTAGATTGCTGATCAAGCTCTTCTCCCAGTTTGGAAAGAGCAGTAATGTACTTCTTCTTTTCTGTACTCTTTATCTTTTTTTATTTTGCTAATTGAAAACAATAGTAATGGTCCTTAGATTGATTCAGCCATTAATGCCTGGGTAGCCATGTCTTGACAAATTTAGGGTTTTTTTTCGTTTCTTTGCACATACAGATGTGTTAAGCATAGGGAATCTATAATATCATTAAATCCTTTATTGATTTATGGCTTTAACAACCCAGATTTATTAATCTACATGAAATGGTTAGCAGCAACCCAAATCTCTCTGGCCTCTCATTACCCCTGACCAGTATGCATCATCCTTAAATAGATGCTGCAACCCACCCATGCTTTTAGTTCCTTTTACATGTCTTGGTTGAGATTAAAGGTGAGCTCTTCCTATCTAAGCTATATCTTAGAGTAGTTCTTTAAGTGGTTTAAAAAAAGCACTGCGGATTTCTCAAATTTTTCTTTCTCATTCTGGATTTCTCTGATTCGAATTCATGCTTTGTAAAATCCCACAAAACAATCAATTAGAAACCCCAGAATCAGATCAGTGAAAAACATGGAAACATTGCAGTGCACTTGAAGTGGTAATGTCCTCACATGTCTTGCCAAACACACTCCTATTTGTTGCATACTCATTGTCTTATGTTACTTTAAAGTGATAATTTGCGAGCATCTTTCTCTTCCAATGGAGAGAAAAGGGGCATTGTTGTCTTTAGTCAGAACACGTCTCACCAAGATGAGTAACTGGACCCTCTGACATTGCTACTGTTGCTCCAAGGAATGTTTCTAAGGCAAGATAGATTTTAAAAAAAAAAAAATGCAACTGCATGTGTTGAAAGGATCACTACAAATTTCGTAGTTCTTCATTCTTTCTATTATTCAATTCTAGCTAAATTTCATAATTGAAACATATGGAGTACATCTAATAGAAAAATCTTTGATTATTTACTATCGGAAGACTATTTTGGATTTTTCAACCAATAGGCTAAACTGTCCTTTGGATTTACTGCTAAGAGACTGAGACCAGAATGCTATATATACTCTGCACTCAAAATTCATTGGATCAGAAAATTAAAATCTGAAAATAGTATAAATTAATACAGATTAAGACCTCTTGTCTCACAGGAAAGGGAAAGCAACTATGAAAGACACAGGCCATTTGAATTTCTTTTCTATTTGTGTCCCTTCTATCTTTTGAGATTTCTCAAGACATAGCCTTTATGTTTTTGAACAATTTTCAGCTTTAAGGATTAAAAACTGGATTTTAATAACTCCCTAGATGACATATGTGGAATTAGAATCAGCAAAGCATTCAGAACAGAAACATTTCAAGCTTGAAACAATTGTTTGGGGTTCAAATGAAATGCATCAACCTTAATAAAAACTTTGTTTCGACCAGTCTGGAATCATTTTTTAGTTTGGAACAGAGCTGTTTTGAACTCAAATACTGGACTTACGGAATGGTCAGAACAATGTGGGAACACTGAAAAGTGGAAGCATTCTGTTTGAGCTCGAAACAAGATTGAAATGTTTTCTGCGCCTCTGCTTGGAATACTAATTGCTATGCTTCTGTGATACGATGACACAAAACATACCTTCTAGACTAAATCCACTTAATCTTATCTGAATCCTACCTTTCTCTCCATGGATTTTGGCTTCTAGGCTTTTGCCTGAAATGCTCACCTTTAGTGCTTTCAACACTTCTCCCTTTTGCCGCTTCATCTAAGTTTACGTTAGCCATTTGCTAAGCTTTGCATATTTTTGTCCCTCCTCTGTCAAAACAGTTCGTCGCTTGGAAAGCCCGATTTCTGCCTTCTGGTGGCGACATTAGATCTCGCACTGTATTAAACTCTCTGCTTTGTCTTGTGCAGGTGTTGGCTTTGGAAAGAGGCATGGTGTGACTTAACATTATTCTCTTTTTTTTTATATTATTCCGCTTATGTTGGCAGAGGGGTTAGCAGTTCTCTGCTTGAAAGCTGCTTGTTTGGAGCCAGTGTTTGGAATAAGAGAATTTGTTACTTGCAGAAATATGTCATTTAAAATTGCATTTGTAATGTTTTCAAGCTGTATTGCAGTTTGAACTGTGGAATGTGATTATAAGAATTGGATTCTGGAAATATTTTATTGCAGAACTTTTTCTTGTAAATAAGTTTTTGCAAGGAGAAAACATTCTTCTTGGATGGATTTAATAAATCCATTGTAAGCAATTCACACTGTAAACAGATTTATTATAACTATGGTTGGATCTGAAAGCAAACACAAAAACTAATTGATCCTCCATAGGACTTACATGTTACAAGCAACAGAGAACTCCTTTTATTAAAAACAGATGTGTTGGGATACATTCTTCATGCCCCGGAGAGGAAGAGTTAGCTATATTCTACAACATTACTCCTGTAGAATTACAAAAAATAAATAGTTTGCCTAATAATTGTTACAAAAAGGATGTGCTTAATCTGCCAAAGTAGGAAGAGAGATAGTTGAACCTCAGCTATCAGGTATGAGCTCCTATCCAATGAGAAATTGTTATAGTGCTTCCGTTATAATTCAGAGCCTTTATAGTTATATAATATGCACTTAAAATATTTAAGACTGCAGATGGCCCAGCCATTTCATTTTTTTTAATCTTAATGGCTCAATAGTAACTATATCATTCAAGGTCAGTGGTCCTAAATTTGTGGATTTCATCTGATTTATGCACATTTGGCTATATTTAAAATAAATTTAAAATTTTTGTAAAGTATTAGCTTTCAAAAACAAATACATTATCTCCAAAACTTAGCCTAAAATTTTGCTGCTTTTCTTAAAGTCTCAATTTCTCATTCCATATTTGAAGAACCACCCCAAATTGCGAATTTTTCTGCTGTTTAAATGCTAAATATTTTCTACAACACGGTGTCAATATAAATCTCTTACGCAGTTGGTCTTATGAGATATACAATGAACAGAGTTAGAGGAAGCATTTTTATTTGTTTTTTTTTTTCATTTCCATTTGTAAAATTATTTGCAAAAATGCAGTCTCATGTCTTTATCTCTGCAAGTTAACAATATCTCATTTCTTTTACGTTAAACAACTTATTTTTTTTTTAGTTTTTTTTAAAAGCTAATCTTAATAAATCTTTTGTTTTTCTTTTTGTTGTTTTGCAGCAGGCCTGGCCTGGAGGGACCCAACAGATACTTTTGCCTTCTACCTGGCAACAACTTCCAGGGGTTGCATTGCACAATTCTGTTCAGCCTACAGCTGTGATTCCTGAATCAATTGGAAGTAACCAGCAGTTGGCTGATTGGAGGTGAGTCTTCAACCAAGCAGAAATATAAGTAGTACATAATATGAAAAAGTGCAGAAATGATGCAGTGTTTTTGGATTATATTTTTTAGAATAAATGATCAGATGTATAATAGTAAAGTAAAAAAAAATCTTTTTAACTAGTATGTTCTTTTTATATCCCTTTGGGAAGACAGAGTGAGAGAAAGACATTTAGAAATATGATTGAATAGTCAGGAAATGTGTGGATAGAGATAATTTCTGCAAATGCTCATAAAAGGTAGAAAGAGATATATTGGGCATTCTCAAGATATGCCATCATGTAATGTTAAATTACAGGTTTTTTTTCTGTAAAATAATGTACAGTTAGTGTCTGAAGTTTTAACAGCAAGGAAAGAATACTGTGGTACAGTTACATTTTCTGTTCAAAGAGATCAAGCAAAACCTACTGCAATGTAGATAAAATAATTATAGATTCTTCCCATTCCAGAATTCTAATTGGATACTGTGCTCTTAAGAGTTCTGGTCTTCTGGAGTATATATGTATGTGTGAATAGATATGCTTTCAATATTGATTCCTGGTGTCTGCCTGGGCAAGTCCCTATAGTTTTGTTTGCAATGTTTTTTAGAATTGGTTTGCCCTTCCTAGGGCTGAGAGAAAATGGCTGGCCCAAGGTCACTCAATTTGCTTTTGTGCCTAACATGGGACTAAAACTCAGTTTTCTAGTTTCTTACCATTATAACAAGAAGGCTCTATATTCTGGAGTACGTAAATAATGTTAGGAAACTCTGGTATTTTCTCTCCTTTAGAAGTGCTCATTCACATGGAAATCAGTATAGCACTATTATGCAGCAGCCATCTTTGTTAACCAATCATGTGACTCTGGCTACAACACAACCTTTGAATGTTGGAGTGGCTCATGTTGTAAGACAGCAGCAAAGTAATGTGGTACCAGCAAAGAAGAACAAACACCCATCTCACAGTGCCACTAAGTAAGTAAATTATTTGTCCCAATTCTGAGTAGGAATTGGCAGACTGTATTTTTCATATACATACACTTTCCAGTATATACATACATTTTTAGTATAATAACACTATGATTTATAGCAGATTAAATCCTCAAGCACATTCAACCCAGACAGTTATAAGAACTGTCGTGTACACTAGCTTTAATTTAGCACCTATAGCTGTTTCTGTTTTGTTAAGTAATAAAAATATATAATTACTGAGGAAAAGTAGAGATTAAACATTTAAATACAGAGTCTGGAACAAGCACTCTGAACAACTAAATGACATGCTTTTCTCCTGGATTGCACGTGATTATTTGAGCTGGAATAAGCTCAGAGCCATTCAAAATATATAAGCTCTGTTTATGCCTTTGGTGGGTGAATTCATCATAATTATACCCCCATCTTTCCCATAGGCCTGCATCTACTTTGGAGGCTATTCCTTCTCAAGTCTACTCTCTAATTGGAAGCAGTCCTCTGCGTGCCACATCTTCTTCCTCCAATGCTCTCCATCCGGGGCAAGAGCAGCATCAGCCCATTGTTATTCCAGATACCCCCAGTCCTCCTGTTAGTGTAATCACCATCCGAAGTGACACTGATGAAGAAGAAGACAACAAATACAAACCTACAAGGTACAGGCTTAAGCTTCTTTCAATTCATTAATGCATTGCAATGAGAAAGAGAGAGCCATAAAGCTAAAAAGAAAAAGAGCCCATTGTTAAATGGTTGAGTGTTCTGACCTCCCCGCCTCTGGCCTGCGAATCACCCAGACACAGGCTTGGCTGTTTGCCACTCTTTAATCACGGAGTTATCGACTTCTTTGGCTGAAGGCCCAGACAAGACTCACATGCAAGAATAGTTGGCAGCAACCCAAAATCCAACAGGCCAGATACAAGACAGACAGAGTTTTCCAATACTGTTTCAAATGTTTGTTTCCTGAAAATGCCCCCTCCCAACTTCTCCACTTATATACTCTCTTGGGAGTGGCCAAGCCACAACCACCTGGGCTTAATCATCATCTATGAGCCTGCCTACGGAGCTGCTGCTTCCGTTTTTCCGCCCTTCTTAATCTTGCATCAGGGACAAACTGCCTTTGATCCTCCCCACTGCTCCATGCCTCAGGCGTCTCCTGGTGGCCAACCAGCCTCTCTGGTCCCTGCTCTGAGTCTGAACCCTGTCCAGGGTCCTCCACATCTTCCCTGGCAGACTCATATGGTTCCTCGCTATCCGAGTCCATCAGCTGCTGGGCCACAACAGTAGAGTATATGTTTTTTCAGGTGCAAGGAAAGTTCAAGGATCAGTCTGACATCTTTAGATAGAATTAAAGGTGTGTGCATTGATAATTCTGGTCTAGATTGATCAATAGAGTCGAAGGTGTCTGGACTGATAATTTTGATCTAGACTGAACAGTAATTGATGGGATATAATACCCTTTATGTATGTAAATTGTTAAAGCTAATGTAATGTAAATGTCATACAGTGATACAGAGCTGTTGGATAAGTACATCTTTTTTGAAGCTCAGGGGATTCTTTATAGGTTATACAACTATAAACTTGCATATCTTTAATTTATGATCTGTGCTAGAAGTATTAGTTTTGGACTAGCTCCAAACTATTCTCCATCATTTAAAAAGTTGCAAGCCTTGTTAAGCCAGTCTAACTTAATGGATAGTTGTGAGAATGAAATAAGATAGATTTCACATATCCTACTCAAAGCGTTTGGAAAAGTGATGGGATGGTATTTAGTGCAGTTTTATATTAAGAAAAATGCAGGAGTTGCAGTTAAATGCAAAGTTCACATCCTTGTGTTCTTTGAAAAACTTTTTGGAAACAGATCATTGACTGCATTGCACAACTGATTATTTCTTTTTAATCTTATTTGGGTTGCTGAATAGTTTGGATATGTATTTTTAAGTATTGTAATAAGGCAATATTAAGATAAATAAGATAACTAATAAGGAATTATTGTTTTCTCATAGCTTGGGAATGAAACAGAGATCCAATGTCATCAGCTACGTTACTGTTAATGATTCCCCTGATTCAGACTCTTCCCTGAATAGCCCTTATGCATCAGATGCACTTTCCACACTCAGGAGCTCTGGTGGTGCGCTGGAGCCAAGTAGAGGGGCAGCTGAAAGCTCCACCTCCCGTACCATTATTGTGCCTCTGAAAACACAGCTTAGTGACTGTACTGTAGCCACCCAGGCCTCAGGTAAGCTGCATTGCCTATAAACTGCATTGGTCTATAATGTGGAACTGATTTTTTTTGGCTCCCATTTTTATGAGTTTGTACTGAAAAAATGTACGTGTGTTTTCTGTTAGTGTTTGCACAGCTTCCATAACCAATATACCAAAGAGTAATTGTCAGGAGGAGTACATGGGCATTTCAATTATGATGGCTCATAAGGAAAAGATTGTTTGAGTATAAATACTTTAAAAAAAGATTTTTTATGATGGATATGTTCAGAGTACAACAAATTAATATAAATGCAATCTCCATTAAAAAATAACAAATGTATTAATGATGAGACCTAATGTGTTGCAAACTAAATGTTTCTCTTCAAATGTAAGAAGTATGTGTATTTGTGCATTCCAGTATTTTTATTAATACTTTGTTAAGTATTCTGGACTAATTAGTACTTTAGTTCTATATAATATAAAATCATATATAATGGAAAAGCAGAGATGTAGTCAAGTTTTTATCAGGCACAAATAACCAGAACATTTGTCAAACTACAGAAGAGTTTATTATTGCTATCTATAAACAAGAATCTAGTCAACTGATGGCCAAAGCTAGATTGGCGCTAAATAAGAGTCAACAGAATTCACTTGGAATTCTGGACTTGGATTTCTTTTTGCAGTGCAATGACTCCTAACCGATGACATGTTTCACTTCACCTTCCACTTCAGCCTGCTCTTGTATAGTTTCTTCTAATTCAATATAATCATTTTCCCAAGTCAATTAAAAAAAATGTAACAAGAATTGCAAGATAGCAGTTGTTTAAAAATCAAATTAATAAAACAATGAAAAGGATATAAGGAAAGTAAAAGTCTCTTCTTGGTGTGCTTAAATATCACTCCAAGAAGATGATGTTAGAAATGTACCCAAAAGTCTGTGAATGTTTTAAAACAGTTCTTTAAACCTAGCTTATTTTAAGAACAGACTTTCAAACCTTATAGCTCCTCCTTTTTAATTTACTTCCTTTAATTCAGACACCAAGGAGAAAGGTTGATGGATAATTTTGATAGTTGTTCATGCAAAGTTTAAGTTTATTCTTTTCTTTTTTATACCAGTGTTGAAACCCTAGAGGTGGGGCAAATATTTGGGGGCTGTGTTTTGCTATTTTAATACAGGTAGTCCTCAACGTGCAACAGTTCATTTAGTGAACATTCAAAGTTTCAGCAGCACTGAAAAAAAACCTTAAGACTGTTGTTCACTCTTTTTATAGTCACATGATCAAATTTTGGACATTTGACAACTGACTCATATTTATGATGACTGCAGTGTTTTGGGGTGGGGTGATAACTGCTTGCAACCTTCTTACAAGCAAAATCAATGGGGAAGCCAAATTCATTTAAAAACTGTGTTACTAACTTAACAACAGTAGTGATTCACTTAACAAGAAAGATGGTAAAATGGGGCAAAGTTCATTTAACAACTATTTCGCTTAACAATTGAAATTTTGGGCTCAATTTTAACCATACATTGACTACCTGTATTGGGTGTTTTTTGAATATGCAGGTTTTACTTATTTGGGCATGCAGTAATGTGAAGGAAATAAGACAATAGACTGGATCTTAGTTAGATGACACATCTGGGGAGTTAACATGATCTCCTTACACCCTAATAAAAGGTCAAGTCAATTTTAAAACCTTATGTTCAAAAATATGATATGATAGGTTTCTTCAAAAAATTCATCGAGTATGTACAAAGTCTAGTACATTTAGTAGAAATCAGAACATCTGATCTTGATTTAAAACTGTTCCTAAAGCTTACTTCTTTTCATCCCAAAACTCCATCCCTTTGTCTACTCTTTGCTTCAAGACGACATGTATCTTCCCCAGGATTTTGCCTTTCCCCTTTGGCAATATCTTGATATAGTTATTCTCAAAGAGATTTGGACTTCATTCAGGAAGCTTTTCTTTTGAAATATTTGAAGAGTTATTTACTTTTGGACTGTATTAAAGAGGGGGATTCATTATGGAATAAATTTGATGATTTTTATTGTAGGAGTCTTTAGCCTGAGCAAGATCAAGCCAATGGCATCTGTAAGTGGGCAAACATCAGGATGTTGTATCACACCAAGTGGATATCGGCAACATCGGGTAGTGACAAATGGTGTACAACCACTCAACCTTAGCCAGGTATGTAAAATTATTTCTCCTCCTTGCTGCAATGTTCACATAGTAGCAGTTAGCAGTGCTTTATAGTAAAGGAACAGTTAAAAAGTAAATAGCAAAAAGAGAATTTGTGAATGATAAGAAATTTCAAAGAGCAATATTACTAAATTTGCATTCAGTAGTGGATTTCTCTTTCTGCTTCATAAATTATGGATTTGGACAGCACCATAAGGATCATGTAATTCAGTCTTTTGCATTGTGCAGGAAAACCTATTAAGCCATCCTCATGTCTCTTTTTTTGGAATAAGATTAGGGCAATCAGGATTTCTAACCATTTTGGGCTCCTGGGTACAAATCTTAACGATGAAAAGCAATATGTTGTTTGTCACAATGTGCAGAATAATATTTGTATCCTAATATCAAGTGTAAGTTTGTTCATCAAGAGGTTTGTGTTGTGAGGAAGCCACACACATTTAATCAATTATGTGTCGTCTCCCCACCCCCACCAATGACTACTGTATTTTTCGGAGTATAAGATGCATCGGAGTATAAGACGCACCAATGTTTTGAAGAAGCAAATTTTAAAAAAGTAGGTAGGTAGATAGAGGGATATAGAGAAAGAGAGAAATACGGTAGGTAGGTAGAGAGTAGTTAGGTAGGTAGAGGCATAGAGAGAAATAGAAAGAGAGAGAAATACAGTAGATAGGTAAGGAGAGAGAGAGTAGGTAGGTTGGTAGGTAGAGGGATAGAGAGAGAAATGGAGAGAGAAAGATAAATATAGTAAATAGGTAGGGAGAGAGAGATTAGGTAGGTTGGTAGATAGAGGGATAGAAAGAAATGGAGAGAGAGAGAGAAATATAGTAAATAGGTAAGGAGAGAGAGAGAAGGTAGGTAGGTAGATAAAGGGATAGAAGCGCGAGAGATATATAGAGAGAAATACAGTAGGTAGGTAGGGAGAGAAAGAGTGTAGCTAGGGAAGAGGGATAGAGAGAGAGAAATACAGTAGATAGAATACAGTAGATAGGTAGGGAGGAGAGAGAGTGGGTAGGTAGGTAGATAAAGGGATAGCGAGAGGGAGAGAGAAATAGAGAGAGATAGAGAAATACAATAGGTAGGTAGGAAGAAAGAGAGTAGTTATGTAGGTAGGTAGATAAAGGGATAGAGAGGGAGAGAGAAATAGAGAAATACAATAGGTAGGTAGGAAGAAAGAGAGTAGTTATGTAGGTAGGTAGATAAAGGGATA